AACCTTGTTAATATGACTTGTCCATGTTAAGTCGAAGGATAGCAGTAGACCTAAATATCTTACTTCTTCTTTTCCTGCGATAGGTGAACCGTTCAATAACAACGGTTTAAAAGATGATGTATCTTTGCGATGATATTGCGTAGAAAAAGTAATTGACTCGCATTTTGATGGGTTTAAAGGTATATACCATTTTTCTGCCCATTCTTCTATTTTTTGAAGATCTCGGTTTAGACTTTGCTCACAGAAAACTGGATCTTTGTGATGATTTAAGAGAATAACATCATCTGCAAACAATCTCACAACACTTTCTATGCCATTAGGTAAATCATCAATATATACTAAGAATAGTAGAAGTCCAATAACCGATCCTTGCGGTACACCTTTTGATATTTTTTTCCTTCCAGAAGTAGAGCCATCCAAAATCGTTTGGATTGTCCTGTCTTTTAGGTAATTTTCAATCCACTTCAAAGCTTTACCTTTAACGCCTTTTTTATAGAGTTTTAGCAGCAAAAGTTCATGATTTACATTATCAAAAGCCTTACGAAAATCTAACAGAACCGCTCGCACAAACTTATCTTCAGCTATACCAGAATTAATCTTATTGACTACGTCCAATAACAAGTTAGTAGTACTATCTTTCGCTATAAAACCCGATTGAGAAGCCGACAGAAGTTTGTTATTAATGAAATGAGTATATAGTTGCCTGTGGACTAATCTTTCGGATATTTTAGATAAAGCAGGTAAAGTTATTGGTCGGTAGTTAGATGCATCGAGACTGTCGCCATTCTTAAAAATAGGGTGGACAAACCCGTTTTTCCAGTGTTCAGGAAATTCGGTCGAATCAAAGGACTCGTGGACTAATTTAGTGACTGGTTTAGTAATAGAAAAAATTATGTTTCTTAGCATCCGATTAGTAATGCCTGGCGCACATGCTTTACTAAGATCCAATTTCCGCAGAATAGTTTCAACATCGGGTAGTTCAACCTTAAACTTTTCAATCTTAGTACCAGATTCTGGCAGAGTGTCAGCAATTTTCGAATCGATGATAGGCCCTGTCCACGTACACACTTCAGCAAAGTAGTTATTCAACATCTCGGCTTTCTTTTGACAATCAACTATTATATCATTATTGGCATTTCTAAGGGCTGGTATAGACGTTGCACGTCCTCTACCTAATGTGTTTTTAACTAAGCTCCACCAGTTTTTCGAGGACGCAGAAATTTTCTCATTTATTCTTTTATAGTAGACTTCTTTTGCGGAAACACATTCTTTTTTAAATTCCTTTACTACTTTTTCGTAATTCATCATGTTTCTTGCCTCTTTTCACGTAGAATCTTTAGCTTTTAGTCTCCAATTCATTATTTTCCCATCACAATTTCTCAAAATGTAAAAATGTACTCCCTGGAATTTTTGTTGCTGGTAGAGTAAAACTTCAGAACTAGGTACTAAAAAGCAAATATATTTACTTTCATTGAATTTCAACATGAAATGAATGACTTTTTATTGTGCTTTTTAATGATCGACAATAATAAATTATAGTCTCTGATGTTTTTTATTAGATAGACAGATACTGATGTCAACATATTACTAGCAATTTAAAGAACTAAATCATATTTAAGTTTTATAAGTATTATTCCAAGCAAAAATCACCTAGGGTAAAAATCTAGATACATTTCGTTTGTAATCGGGCGATGCATGACTAGTTGTCATCTAGATCACTAGTTGGAAAAGGGACTTTTAACTAGATGCGTCTGCATGTGGAACTAGCAATAGTTAAATTGATCGATTATCAGATAAATCGATGGTTGCAGCTGAGGAGAAATACGTTGTAAAGTTCAAGATTATAATTATTTTTATTTTTCGTTCTATAGACAAGAATGACTGGTCATATGAAAATCGGCATAACCAAATGAATCAAATTTCTTGCGAACATTCTTCTTCACCATCGTCAACATCGGGTGAGGATGAGGAAAAACAGCAGCCAAATAGTGATAATGAAGACGAAGCACAAGATGAGATTAATGATGATGAATTTTTACGAAAACGTTATGTCAATAAAAATGAATATCGTCGAGTATCGGTAGCTGCTGAAAAGTACAATCCCGAAGAAGATAATGACAACGATACAGAACATATATTTTATCCGAAAAATGATGAACAACGACAACGTTTGAGAGAAGCTGTTATTTATAGTCTTCTATTCCGAACGTTAGAATCATCACAAATTGATCAAATATTAGACGCTATGTACGAAAAAGATGTAAAACAAGGCGAAGTAATTATTAAACAGGGAGATGATGGTGATAACTTTTATGTTATTGATGAAGGTATTTTTGATATTTATGTTAGTAAACAACCAGATCAAACTCCAGTTAAAGTGGGTGAATATGGTAATAAAGGTTCATTTGGTGAACTAGCATTAATGTATAATCAGCCAAGAAGTGCCACCATTATAGCGGCAACAAACGGTGTCCTATGGGTTATGAAACGTCAAACATTTCGTAAATTAGTCCTGAAACATGCCTTTCGTAAACGTCAACTATATGAAAACTTTCTGAAAGAGGTTGAAATATTAAAATCTATGAATGATTATGAACGATCAAATGTAGCTGATGCTTTAATACCGATAGTCTATGAACCAAATGATTTGATTATTAAGCAAGGTGACTATGGTGATCGAATGTTTTTTATTGAAAATGGGGAATGTGATGTTATTGTGAATAAAAAATTTAATAAAACATTAAGTAAAGGCGATTATTTTGGTGAGTTAGCCCTCGTTAATAATGAACCTCGTTCAGCCACTGTACGCGCGAAAACAAAAGCAAAATTAGCATATTTAGAAGTAGAATCATTTGAACGACTTATGGGTCCATGCATGGAGTTACTTTGTAGAAATATGTCTAAATATACCAAATAAATTATATAGAAAAAACAAATTTGTATGTTTTTTACATGATAACGATATAGATTTTTTTAATGTAGTCTATTTTCTTTTGCTCTACTCTATATATTTAATTTTTTTTCTCTAAATAAATATTTTCAATTGTATTATGGAATTGAGTAAAAGAAATTAAGTTCTGACTGAGAAAGAGTGAAAAATTGTTGTCCTGAAATTTATGTCTGAAACTTTGACGTTGAATATGTCATCCCAATCGTATATTATTGTAAAAATCTATTTGTTAAGAGTAGTGTTCCTCATTATGGCAGGAAAGTTTTCATGATTTTTAAATCTTAATTTGTTCAGCCGTTTTTAAGAGGCAAGAAAATTTTTGTAAAGGAATTGTTACATTAGAAGAGCCTCCCTTAATAGAAGACTTCGTCATACTTGCCATATGAAAGTTGGAATAGATGACCACTATTTTTAAATTTTTTTGGAAGAAAACATCAGTTATACTGCTAACAAAACGATATTTTGTTTGAGACTATTAAGACGCCAATATAAAGATATATGTACAGATTTGGTAGAAAGTATCACTTTATTCATAGCTGATAGCAAAATGTAACTTTGTTTACACTATGGAAACAGTATATACTGTACATATGGGGGTGATCAATTTGACTTGTATCCCAACATTCATTTATTTGTGCCACTTCATCTACGCATTAGCAAAATCTGATTTTTTTACCAGTTATACTGCATATATAATGCTACTAATCTATCACTATTTGAAATCTATATATCACTAGAAATGAGAATTATTAAGTACATCTTTGTATTTATTTGGGGTACAATAATTACAGTTGTCACGATGACGATAATAATGCGTGTACAAACCAGATTTTTCCGAATCACTATTATAACAAAAATGAAACAACGGACTAGCCTATTATTGCACACATATAAATACGGCGGCTATCAATTTGTTATAAAATTTTCTTTCGTATTTTGTCTGATGAAGTTGTAAACTACAACGAAACGTCACATTTAAATAAATATATGTCAAACACTATTAAAAAGGTTTGTATAATAACATCTCATTATCTGGAAGAGAAATTAAAATGTCTACAAAATTATCAACTTTCCTTACAAAATAACAATACATATGTCATTGTACTTCAATCTTCAAAAAGTGCTGAAGACATGCATTTTTTTGGTCCACAGTGCAAGACCCCTCTAAAATCTTTAAAACTCAAGACAGATTAGAAGATCCGAGTCTTCTATTGTGTCAATCTCTTTATTCAGAGATAGAAAGACAATTCTCTATTTAACCATGCTAAAGAGAAACAAATTCGATTTGACTTGATTACAGTGCCGAAAACTACAGGCATATTCGATTTTTTTTGCGTTTCTACATGTTTTCATATACGACAATTCCAGTCAAATGCGTATCTTTATTACCTGTTGTCAGAAAAAGAGTTATGACTACTACTTGAATTAAACAATCGCCGTAGGATGTTGGAATAATAAATATTCTATTAATTAAGAGTCACACGTTCACGTAAAGGGGATCGAGACGGATCAATGAACTTTTCTGCCTAAAGAGTGTTCTGTAACTTTCTAATTATTTTCCACGGTAAATTAACGGGAACTATCAATTTTGCAGTTTGGTCTGATCAAAGTATGATTTACTTTGCGAAAATTTGTGATCAGGCCAAACTGCAAAATTGGCAGTTCCTTGTTGACTTACCATAGAAAATAATTAGAAAGTTTTACAGAACACTCTTTAGGCAGAAAAGTTCATTCGTCCGTCTAGAATTCAGCCTGAGTAAATAAGGATTTACAAAAATGAAAACTTGAGATGACATTCAATTTTTCTGTAATATTTTGCTGAATTTAGGAAAACCAATCCGAATATACCACATGTGATTTCATACTATAATGTTGGATAAAATTGTACATAGCAATAATCAGTGTATTTTGTTGCCTATAGAACAGTAATGGTAACTAGAAATGACAAAAAAATATCCTGCTGTGTCGAAAAATATTTTGATGTAATTACTTTATAATAAATTTTACGACAGAAAAAATATTTTTTCCATTTTACCATGTCTTCTGTTCGATCTCAAGTGATTCAACTTCCATCGAGTAATGATCAAGTTCTTATAATAAATCCGGATGGAACTGTTGTTCAAGAATCGAATCAAGTATACTATAAAAAACCAAATGCTTTTAAACGAGCATATGAAAAATATAAAAAACCAAAAAATCACTATATTATTGAACAGGTATGTAAGACTTAAATGTATAGAACTTACTTAAATGTAATAGAAAAATGTCATAATGTTTCATGTAAAATATATCACTTTCAGGAAGGTTTATCTTATCGTTATTGCGAGTGTTGTCATCGATGGTGTACTAGACGATGTCCAGCATGTGATTTTTGTGATCGAATATTCGCCTGTCCACTCTACTTTTGTGTTATTGCTGGATTATTATTGTTAGGACTACTAATTGCATTACTTACACTATTTGGTTTACTTCCAGGTTAGTCAAAATGAAAATAGTCTAAAAAATTGAGGCAATATTATGAATAAAAGAGATAGCAATAACATTCATAATACTTTGTTTGTCTAATAAAATTTGCTTATAATAACAGTTTTAGAAAAGCGAAATTAAAATCTTTTGTTTTTGCAACACTAAATTTATAATAATATTTTTGAAAATACAGCAGAGTTTTGTTATTCTATTTTATGCAGAAAAAAATATGATTATTTTTTTACAGGTGTCAATCCTAGCCAACGCTATTATGGTATTATTCATTCACTATCGATAATAAATAAAACTACGTATATTCTTGGATTAGATACAAAATGTATTAAATATGGTGTAGTGAATAATTGTCTCGATCTCACCACAGCTCAAACAGTCGTACAAAATATTGCCACTACTATAATAACTAATAACGGTAATCGAAACTATTTAATGAAAAGTAAACTTATATCCATTATTCATCTTTCAACCATATTCTGTTTCACATTTATATTAAAAGACTATGGACGTACCTTAGCATTTGTGATAAACTAATGCAGAAGTGTATTTGTTCTTATCTAAACTCGAGTGAAGATTTTATTCCAGCTGATAGTATCCGAATATGAAATATAATGTTCATCGATAGCGATGAAACATACTGTACTACTATCCATTCAAAAACATCGTGTACTTGGTTGTTTTGTAAATAACTTTTGATAGAGATGAGATAGCGACCTACGATTTTCAGTTTTGAAAACTAGACACCTGACCACATATTTCTTTGAGCAAAAGCGAATTTCGGAAAAACTTCTGAAACGGGTTTTTTAGAGGATCTTTGAAAAACTAGCTTGGGTTGGCCGAAAGTCATATAGGAATGTATTGATTTTTTCTCATGGGCTGATAGCCCAGGATGTTCTTTTCAAAGTGGGAGTAAAGTGAGATCTTGATTTTCTGCAGTTCGGGAGTTGTATCGGATTTCCGACGAGTCCCAGGACTGGCACCCGGTGACTCTTGGTAGCCTTAAAGACGGATGGACTATGAATGATCGATCATGCTGAGTCTCGTGGCAATATTTAGTTTTAGAAAAAGTTTTAAAAATCTACCGAAAAGTCAGTTTTACGAAAATTAGAGTTTTCAGGCTGTTTTCACCTAATATTAAAAAATTCACTATTCACTCAGAAAACATCAGAGCAAGCTCAGAACCTCAGGATACGATTAATGTTGTCCGTTAAACCTGATTATAAGATAAAAAAATCGAAAAGCATATTTTTGTTAATGGGTTTTCCCGAACCTCTTTTGGAAAACCTTAGAGTTTTTTAAAATTTATTTGGAGATCTCCTGTGAACAGGATATAGAATAGCTTAAATACTCTACATTCTGAAGTTTTGACCTCGTTCTGATGTTTTCTGAGTGAATAGTTCTGAGTGTCTAGTTTTCAAAACTGAAAATCGTAGGTCGCTATCTCATCTCTATCAAAAGGTATTTACAAAACAATCAAGTGCACGATGTTTTTGAATGGATAGTAGGTTGTGAGGATAAACAGACTTCTCTATATCACAAGAAGTCGTTTAATCTCTTATGTAAATCTTCAAAAACGTTGTCATGTATTAGCCTGAAGTATGTTATTTATTTATATTTTTATAAAATCTCAAAATTTGGGATTCGTATGTGATAAATCAGAACTTTTACGATATATATAAATAAATATAATGATCTTTATTGCAAGTCTACTTATACCTTCGTATTTCTGTCGTAAGAGTTTCATAATGTTGAATATGAAAATGAGATAAAATTATCTGGAAAAAGATAATTGCAAAAGTAGCATGAGAAAAAGACTTTCTTATAATGAGCCTTATTCACACCTTGATGAGGTAGCTTACTGTTTTCTTACTTTCTGTCAGGCTTGGGCGAGTCCGGACTGGAAGATTTTTTGCGGACTCGGACTGGAGATTTTGTATTTCGAGTCCGAACTATTCAATTTCTAACACAAATTAGCAGAGAAAAATGAAAAGTGAAATAACAACACCTACTGTTTCACATGAAACTGAAACTTGACGGACATAGAACGTAACCTTATTTTGGAAAAATCAAATATCTATCCAGGGCTCAGCAAATTAAAATATAAACCACCCTCGCCAAAAAAGAATCTAAAAGATTACCGGATTCGAAACGGACTCGGACTCAGTTTGAACTTGTAAGGACTCGGACTCGCCCATGTCTGCTTTCTGTCTATATAATACACATAGTCTATATGTTCGGAAAGATCTCAGAAAGTCTGTTTTTTGTATTTATCAATTATTTATTCTTATTCGGGTATAAATTTTAAAGATGCATAGTTAGACACAAATTCACGATTGGCTGAGCATAAACATTTTTTAGGCCACTCAATGTTTATTTAGAATGTATGCGTACACAGTTTAAAACACAGTGATACAATAGGCGTATTACATGAGAAAAGTGTCCCGTGAATCAGTTGAACGGAAATCGAGTGTTCTTTAGCATGCTCTTTACACTATGCAATGATTTTCTTCAGATTTGATGATAAATTTTCATCAAAACTTTTTTATTATGTTGTTCAGTTGATGAAAGATGATCCTCCGAATAAACTGCAAATCTTTTTGAATTATTTAATTGAGCGTTAAGTCACATTTTTTGCCAAATCATATTAAAATCTGTAAAATTCCCAAAATCTGCTTAAAATCCTTTTGTAACATTTCGATTTGACTTTTTTCATCACTTAGCACCGGTTTCTATTGCACCTGGAAGATTTCAATCGAAAAAATTATAATGAACGATTTAAAACTGATTTTTTAAAAAATTGTATTCAGAAGATCTTCAAAAAAGCAATCTCTGCTTTCTCTGGCAAACTCTTACGTTTATTCAATTATCCATTACTTTTTTTTAAAAAAAATAGTTAGCTATCTATTGTATTGAGATATTACAAATTTAGAAACGATTTTTATATCGCATTCTAGTAGTGAAAATCTTCCAGTTTTCTGGGAATTCACTAACATGCGAAGTGTAAAGAGCGTACCAGAACACGTTCAGCTTCCAGATTTCGGCTTAATTGGTTCACGAGATACTCTTCTCATACAACTCGTCGACTATTGTTTGAAATAACATAAAAAGAAACAAACCAAAAATAATGTACAAAAAACAATTAGTTGTGATTATCGCAAAATAGTTGTTCTGATTAGTCAAGATATAGAATAGTTCTAATTCGGTTTGAATAGCATTTAAAACTCCTTATTCTACAATATTCAATAGATATACTCAAGTAAAATCCTATAAAAATGAGGCTATAGCGAGTTATGGTTAGCAGCATAACAATGTAAAAAACATTCGTTGATAAATTTCACAATATACAGAAGTGTATGATACGAAACCGGTAAGATAACATTGATTTTTGTGCACGAAAGAAAAACAAGAGATAAAAATGGTTCAATGTAAGAGAGATGCGTAGAATATTGAAAAAAAATTGCATTAACATGTGTTTGTACAGTAAAACATGAGAAGTAATAGATGTTAAGAATATGACGTCAACAACTTGTGGGATTTTCTAAGCTCATCGAAGCAATAAATGTTAAATTATGAGCTTTATCTTGTTAATAATAAACAACGGATTTGATTTCGGGCTCAAACTTTTTTGTGTTCATAAATAGAAGATAAAATTGAGCGATAAGAACTGCTTGTTTAAACACAACTTCATATATGACAAAAAATTAAAAAAATAAAGCTTCAGAACTTGAATGAGAATTTTAACCACTATTTTAAAGATAAAAACTAAAAACACACCTTGTTATATTTTAATATTTACTTCCGCGAGTGGATCTGTTAGATGGTGCTCCAAAATTACCGCCCATGCTACGCATATTCGACATATTGCTACCACCAAAAGATACAGGATTACGTTGTGGTTGACCAACAGTTCGAATTCCGGGTCTAACGGCAAAATAATAGTTACAATTCAGTCATATCAATCATTTATACTTACGGTGGTTTGGGTTTATTAATGATACTTTGACATTTTGGAATATGACGTTCGGCTACGTTCGGAGCAAAACTTCTTCCACAATGGTGACATTGAATATAGTCAGGATTGTGACTTGGAGGTGGTGGTGGCAAATCAGCTAATCGTCCACCTTCAAGACGAAGCGAACAAGTAAAAGAATAGCGTCTAACGAGGGAACCGCCTGAGGTGTTAAAAATCTTTTTGAGTGGGACTATTTTTAAAATGTAGATCCTCATGGACTATGAAGAATCCCAAGTTGGTTCGTGCGCAATCAGCTTTGTTGCTGAGATATCGAATTTTTACTCGAATTTTCCCCATAGGACCTGGATTTCAAGCAAAATTGGAGTTTTGAAT